ACACACACACACACACACACACACACACACACACACACGATGGATCAAAGGCCGAAGCTGGTGTGATACTAGACGTCATATGCATGGCTGGTGGGAGTGTAAAACGGTACAGACACTGGAGAAACTAACTGACATCTACCATGGAGACCTCTTTTACCTTCTAGACATTCATCCAGAGAAACTAGACCTTCACACAGAACACGGTACAGGCAGTTAGGACTGGTGCTTTTGCAGAGCGCCCACACAGTGGCTCACAACTGTCTCTAACTCCAGTTTCAAGGGGTTCAGTGCCTCCTTCTGGCCCCCAGGGAGCTTGCATGCACATGGGGCAAATATGTGCATGCAGGCCAGACATCCCTATATGTACAAATTTTGAAAGATTTATTATGTATTCAGTGTTCTGCCTGCATGCTGCCTGCACACCAGAAGGGGGCGCCAGATCTCATTACAGATGGCTGTGAGTCACCATGGGGTTGCTGGGAATTGAACTCAGGACCTCTGGAAGAACAGCCTGTGCTCTTAACCTCTGAGGCATCTCTCCAGCCCAGTAAACTATTCTTTCAAGTTGACTAAATAAACTTACAGTGGCTTTATTCATGATAGCCCCAAACTAGAAACCAGGCGGATATTCTTCAGTAGGTGACCAGTTCAAGCACACAACGTTCAGACCACAGAGTGCTGCTCAACATCAGGAGAACCAGCAGGAGAACCACACGGTCTAGTGTGGTTGGATCTCCTGGGAATTATTATTAAAACCCGAAGGTTATACACTACATGATCCTACTTACACCCCGTTCTTGAATGACAGAATCAGAGAAATGGACACATTAGTGGCTGCCAGGGGAAGAGGGAAGCGGACACGGAGAATCCAGTGGTAACATTTTGCCCTTTACTGGGCCAAGGTTGATAACCTGGCTGTGGCACCGTACTATAGTTTGGCACAGGATTCCTGTTGCAGGAACTGGGTCAAAGAGGACCTGTCAGTAACTGCATGTGAGTCTATAATGACCTCAAAAATGAAATTTATATAAAAAAGAAATAGTGAGGGCTAAATAATGCCACAGAAGCGGGGTGACCCCAGGATCCCTGAAATTCAGAAGTCACATGTCCCTGTGGACCTCAGGGATTGTCGTGGACATGGTAGTCTTGGCTCAGAACCCTTCCTCAAGGCTAGCATGCCTGACCCAGACAGCCACTTACCTCCTCAAAGCACTTCTTGGGTAGCTAGTGTTGACAGTGAACAATTTATGAAATAATGAGTTAGCAATCAAGTTAGGGAAGAATCAAGAGTAAATAAAGATGCTTTATGGCCCTACTGCAGGTTGGAACTGCAGGTGCACAGGCTAGCAGAAGAGCCAGACGGGGGAGTCCCAATGGTGACTGATCTGCTGACTTCTGTGACTGGGGTCCTAATCAAAGAGAGCAGAATTCTGGGCACCTCGGCGGGGTGCCGACTTGGCCACCACTGACTCCGCTGTGTGTGACCACAGGCTTGGAGACGAGCGAGGTCTCTGTGTTGAGGAAAAGCTAGAGTTATTTTCTAAAAAGCCACACATGGGTTTCCACTGGAGTGTAGTAAGTTTGTGCCATACTTGAACATGGAGTTCCTCCTGGTGTCTGGGCCGAGAGTAGATCTCCTGTGTCCCCTTCCTGCTCAAAATCCAGGTAAGGTCCGTGCCATGGGTGATGGGAAAGGAAAAGAAGGAGAACGCGATTAGAGATGAGTCCTTGTCACTTGTGAGGCACTATATGCCTGTTTTGTTGTTTTTTTAAATGTGGTTTTATTATCAAAATGGTGACTGTATGGAAAACGGAGCTCTTTCATTCTACCGAAACGGGAGTCCAGGCATAAGTGTCAACCCAAAACATGGTGGCTGCGTGGGACTTGAAGACTGAAAGTCACAAGTGAGGGGGAGAAATGCGGTGCAAGGCGTGGGTCTGTTTCTCCCATATTAGCAATCTCTATTTCTTTTCTTTTCTCAAGATTTATTTATTATGTATACAGCATGTATGACTTCAGGCCAGAAGAGGGCGCCAGACCTCATTACAGATGGTTGTGAGCCACCATGTGGGTGCTGGGAATTGAACTCAGGACCTCTGGAAAAGCAGCCAGTGCTCTTAACCTCTGAGCCATCTCTCCAGCCCCACAGTCTCTATTTCTAATCAAAGGCTTTAAAAGAATCGAGGAAGAAAACAAAAGTGATACTCACTTCTGCTCTTAACATGAACAGACCTACCTTCCAGCCGTAGGTCTCCTGTATTCAACGTCTCTGGACGTTGCATCTGTGGACTCAAGAAGAAGTCCAACCCTCACCCGAAACTAGCACCTGGGCCAGTGTTGGCCCTGGGAGTCTTCACCCACCTGCCCAGGACCTACCAACACCTATGGCTCTCCGCTATCCTTCCTATTCTACTTTGAGTCCACGGTGGACCTCACCCTTGCCACCTTCTACCTGGCAGGCTCCTATTCATTCTTCAAAACCCAGCCCCACTGTGACCTGGTAGAGGTTACATGCATCATTTTCTCCATTGTACCGTATGGTGCTGGGGTGCAGAAACTGTCTGCCACTTGTCTTTGTGTACCCCAAGTCTTAAAAGGTGCCTGAAATCCATTGTATGCCTTCAATAAATATGAAGTGGATGAAGGAAAGTGGAGGGAAGGAGTAGGGTGGCGGGGGAGATTGAAGTATCTCATCGTACACACTGTTATCACTTTTAGGATAGTATCTGAGCACGCATTACTGAAACCATTTTTAAGACGTGCTGTTTAGACTGAGTAACGCTTGTACTCAACATTTCAGAAGATACCGTTGGCACTCACCCCTCCTCCCCTCCATCCCTACACACTACCACGGACCCCCTCCCCCCCATGGGCAAAGTAATATGCTATGTGTAGGCTCCAGTTGGCTCATAAGTTAAAATATGAACAAACAAAAAACTCACTTTTAACTATCTGGCTGAATACACAGGCATGAGGCTCATATAGCATGGCCATTTCTGGGCAGACAAATCTGCTGCTTTTACCCTAACTCCAAAACACATTTGCTGCTTTAGTGGCAGGACCCAAGAGTCAGCCTGGATTGGGGATCACAGCCCGAACTGGCCTAGGCACAGGAGGGAAGGCTGTTGCTCTGACTGATTGATAAATAAAATGCTGATTGGCCAGTAGCCCGGCAGGAAGTATAGGACAGGCGGGACAAGCAGAGAAGAGAATTCTGGGAAGTGGAAGGCTGAGTCAAGAGACGCTGCCAGCCGCCGCTGCCATGAGAAGATACCGGTAAGCCACAAGCCATGTGGCAACTTATAGATGAATAGAAATGGGTTAATTTAAGATATATGAACTAGATAACAAGAAACCTGAGCCATTAGGCCAAACGGTTTAAATAATATAAGCGTCTGTGTGTTTATTTGGGTTCAAGTGGCCGGCCGCAGGGCCATGGGAGCTGAGCTGAGTCAGAAAAACTTTAGCTACAGAAGGCAACCTGGTAAGAAGTAGGATCTTCTTCACAGGGAAGACTGTCCCACAGGAAACATCCTTAAAGCCAAGACGTCAGGTCTGGTGGTTTTCAAGGGAAAGTGGAGATCTGGATATTTTCATGGCATCTGATGGTTTCTAAGTGTTGAACTTAGATTCCAAGTCAAAACAATGTTAAAACACTAGGTCCAAATCCCTGGTGTCGGGTGGTAATGGAGAGTGCTCATGGTTGACTGTGGTCGAGCATCCTCAGTTGGTCACGCATGCATGTCTCAGGCTAGGATAAGGGGCTGTCATTACAGAAGGCAGTCTTGACCCAAAGGATTGGGGGTGGGGGGGACATTTAGGATGAGATCCTTGTCCGCTTGGATGTGTCTTTGTGATAATATCACCGAGAAGAGAATGGCTGGCTGCCCAGGATCAGGGGTGATATTGGCATCACCCCACCCCCGTACACACACACACTTTCCAGCAGAACTTCCTTGTAAGCACATCTCCACCTTAGATGCTCTGGCCAGTGCGGTCACGGGCCTTGGCTCTCACCTTGGCTCCCTTTTCTTGAACTGTGTTCTTCCAAAAAAGGTAGTCGGTCCGGGTCAACGCTGCTGTCTCTTTTACTTGAACTTATCGAGAATCCTAGAAATGGGAAATGAAGAGAGGAAGAGTGAGTGTTTGTGGGAGAGAGAAGTCGGGGGCACATTCCTGAGAACGAGAGTTTTGCCTCAGTGTGAAGGCAGAGTTACCATCATCTTCCAGTGATGGAGATGTAGGATGGGGATTCCCAAATGGGGATCTGGTAACCTGCGATCTTACTTGGCCCATGGCGAGGACTCCTCTCTGACATAGGGAGAAGAGATGAGAATAGACCATTTGGGGCTTGGGGGAGGGGGTCTCCATTTTCAACATCAGTTCAGCATAGCTCCTGAAATCCCACAGAAGCTATTGAGAAGTCTAGGATGATTAAATCTTAAACTGATAGGAAAACACATTGCTGCTTTCAATCTATTTTTTTTCTCTTGCTAAACACCATTCAATGAGCTTTGATCAAGTGCTATCACTGATTCCCTGCAAAACAAATTCTCCAATCTTCAGTTGGCCAATTTCTGTGGTGTAAATGTTCAGATCATCTGGGCTCCCTCTAGACTTCCTGTACTTGTTTTTGTTTGTTTGTTTATTTGTTTGTTTTTGGAGACAGGGTTTCTCTGTGTAGTTTTGGTGCCTGTCCTGGATCTCACTCTGTAGACCAGGCTGGCCTCGAACTCACAGGGATCTGCTCGCCTCTGTCTCCCAAGTGCTGGGATTAAAGGCATGCGCCACCACTGCCCAGCGACTTCCTGGTTTTGTATGGAATTCTGGAAATGCTTCAGGCAGCAGCTGAGAATCTTGGCGCCTACCTAATTACTTCCCCCTCTCCTCGGGATGACTCTGCTCTGTGCTTAGCAGCCAGTATCAGTTATTCTATCCGCTATTTCAGAATTGTCTTCAAGAGGAAGTGAACCTGTTCCTAGCTACTCCAGGGCTGCTGGGAAGAAAACCTTCTGTTTTGATGTGGTTCTGTTTGGATCAGATTGAAATGTTTACAGAATGGGCTCTACCTCTGCTCCTTAACTGACATCCTCACACTGGCACCGCACTCTTCTAACACACATTAAAGTTGTTGTTTTGTTGACTTCAAAGTATTTATACAGTTTCAGTGAACAAATTGAGTTTATTCCAGCTAGTATATTAGGTTAATAATGTATAATTGACTTTGTATCCACTGATCAATCCCATTATAGAGTGATGGGTGATGTTCTGTATGCTGTGAATATGTGTTGCTCTGATTGGTTGATAAATAAAGCTGTTTGGCCAATGGTGAGGCAGAATAAGGTTAGGTGGGACATTCTAACTAGAGAGAGGAAGGAGAAAAAGAGCAGAGGAGATGCTGCTAGCCCCTGCCAGGAGAAGCAAGATGTAAAGTACCGATAAGCCACAAGCCACATGGCAAAGTACAGATTTATAGAAATGGGTTAATTTAAGACGTAAGAGCTAGTTAGTGAGGAGCCTGCCATGGCCATAGTTTAAAAATGATACAAACCTCTGTGTGTTTATTTGTGTCCAAGCAGCTGCGGGACTCGTGGGTGAGAGAGATTTGTCCTGACCGCAGGCCAGGCAGGACACAGGAAAACTTTCAGCTACAATAGAGGCCTTTAATAATACCAATAGTTTTTGAGATACCATCATATCACCTATAAATAATGTATTTTCTGTGTGCTCATGTTGTTTATATCTGAAGCTAATTTGAGTTTCCAAGTTAATAACATATGATAACAAAGGTAAGAGGGGGCGCTGGAGAGATGGCTCAGTGGTTGAGAGCATTGGCTGTTCTTCCAGAGGACCCGGGTTCAATTCCCAGCACCCACATGGCAGCTCACAACTGTTTGTGACTCCAGTTCCAGGAGATTTGAAATCATCACACAAACATATATGCAGGCAAACCACCACATAAAAATAATAAATAAGGGCTGGAGAGATGGCTCAGAGGTTAAGAGCACTGACTGCTCTTCCAGAGGTCCCGAGTTCAATTCCCAGCAACCACATGGTGGCTCACAACCATCTGTAATGAGATCTGGTGCCCTCTTCTGTATACATAATAAATAAATAAAAAATCTAAAAAAAAAAGCCCAATCCAGAAAATATTAAAATAATAATAATAATAATAATAATAATAATAATAATAATAATAAATAAATAAACCTTAAAACAAAAAACGTAAGAGGAACCCTTGTCCAAGTTTTGATTTTTCAGTTCTGACTGTGAAATAACAAACTTTGAGCAGACTACTCGAGAATCGGGGTTTTCACTTAGCTTGAATTAAGGTCTGTCATGACTTACTTTCTAAGAGTCTTGGGAGAATGGGGGTACTCTTTGCTGCCTGGGCTCTTTTTTGTGATTGCTGCAATTGCCAGTGTTTCGGAGACAACTTCAGCAGGAAAAATCCATATTTTATGTACTCCTTGAGGAGGAATTCGGTTTTTGCTATTTCACTTCAAAAGAAACGAGGGTATGATTACACAGCTGTGAAAGCATTCGATCCATCATTTGTTCGCACAACAGCATGTGTAACGCAACCTGTAAACACAGCCACAAACTACGCACTTCTGAAGGATCTGAGCAGAGAGAAGCCCAGAGGTTGTTCTTGGACGAAAACATGCACATAGAGAGTGGGCTGGCGGCAGCCTTGCTCTGCTGGTTTATTTCTGTCAGAAACATTATATTCTATTAAACTTTAGCCATATGGGGAAACTGGAAGGTAAAAAACGACAGTGGTTATATGAGGGTGAGCAAGGGAGCTACCATTTCACCAGGGCCTGACTGACATATGTAAACAGTATGCAGAATGCCCGACATGCATACTTGCACACTCAGTACAGCAGTTAAAAACAGGTCTCTGGGGCTGGAGAGATGGCTCAGAGGTTAAGAACACTGGCTACTCTTCCAGAGGTCCTGAGTTCAACTCCCAGCACCCACATGATGGCTCACACCCATCTGTAATGAGATCTGGCACCCTCTTCTGACCCGCAGGCGTACTTGCAGGCAGAACATTGTATACATAATAAAATAAATCCTAAAAAAAAAAAAAAAAAAAATAGGCCTCTGTCTTAGGGTTTCTATTGCTGCGATGAAACACCCTGTCCAAAAAGCAAGCTGGAGAGGAAAGGGTTTATTTGGCTTACACTTCGGATCGTAGTCCATCATTGGAGGAAGTCAGGACAGGAACGGCAGGAGCTGATGCAGAGGCCATGGAGGAGAGCTGCTTATTGGCTTGCTTCCCCTGCCTTGCCCAGCCTGCTTTCTTATAGAACCCAGGACCACAAGGGCAGGGATGGCACCACCCACCATGGGCTGGGCCTCCCTGCACTGATCACTAATTGAGAAAATGTCTTACAGCTGGATCTTATGGAGGCATTTCCTCAATGGAGGCTCCTTCCTCTCTGATGACTCTAGCTGGTGTCAAGTTGAACACAAAACCAGCCAGCACAACTGACCCCTTGCCAACTTGACACACAAACATATCGCTATTAAGTCATAACCCTTCCTTCCTTATTCATCTCCAAGATCTCACATTAAAATCATAAATAACTTTAAAAGTCCCACTGTCTTTACAATTCAAACACATTGAAATTTCAGTCTCTTTAGAATATCTTGTAGCAAACTTTCTTGCATATGGCATTTAAGATGTTTTAATAGCATAAGGCTTTTCATGACAGTGAGATATGTCTGCTCCTGGCAGTACCAATCTACTTCAATATCCAACCTCTTTTAAAAGTTCAAGTCTTCAATCTGTGGGCTCCTTTACAAATCAAAATGAAAGACCTTCAAGGGGGAAGAACCAGGGTACCGTCACAATCTAAACTAAGCAAAACCAAATTCCAATGGTATAAACAACTCAATGTTCAGTCATCTGGGATTTACTCACGGTCTTTTAGACTCCTCCAAAGGGCGTGGGTCACTTCTCTGGCTCTGCCCTCTGCAGCGCACAGAACTTGTCTTCTAGGATCTGGTTGGCTCCCCTCTACTGCTGCTAATGTTCTTGGTGGTCATCCTAAGGTACTGCATCATCAAGATGCTGGGGTCCTTTGCTGCAACTGGGCCACGCTTTCACCAGTAGCCTCTCATAGGCTCCTTTTATGGCACCAAGCCTCAACTTCTCTGCATGTTCCCTTCAGTCCTGGGCCTTCAACTGCCACTGAGGCTGTGCCTTCACCAATGGACTCTCCTGACCTCTCACAGTGCCAGGTCTCAGGTACTCTCCATGACCCCTTCATGCCTTCAGAACCAGTACCATTTGGGTGATGCTCACACATTACCAAGCCCTGCTGTTAAGGCAGGGTACAACCATGGCTGCCTCTGGAACACAGCTTCTCTGTGCTCTCAGGAAACACTTCCCAGAAAGTGTCTCAGCATACTGCCAGGGTGTTAGTCAACTTCCTGTTTCCTGCAAGGTATAGCAGTCCCAGCTCCAGCACCACCTCTGCCTGCTCCCCGCCATGATGACAACTGACAGAACCTCTGAAACTATAAGGGAGCCCCCTTAATTAAAGGTTTTCTTTGTAAGAGTTGCCGTGGTCATGGTGTCTCTTCACAGCAATAAAAACCCTAAGACATGTGTGTTTGTGGATATCTTGAGCATGAGGAACCTCAAAGCCCGCCCCCACAGTGACACACTTCCTCTAACGCCATACCCACTTCCTCAAAGCCACACCGCCAAGTAGTGCTACTCCCTATGTGATTATGGGGGCCAAATACATTCCAACTACCACAATACATAATTAAAAACAATTCTTTAGGGGCTGGAGAGATGGCGCAGTGGTTAAGAGCACCGGCTGCTCTTCCAAAGGACCTTGGTTTAATTCACAGCACCCACATGGCAGCTCACAACTGTCTGTAACTCCAGTTCCAGGAGATCTGACACCCGCGGCAAAACACCACTGTACATAAAATAAAATAAAAACAAATGAAAAAAATCTTTAGGGCTGGAGAGATAGCTCAGAGGTTAAGAGCACTGACTGCTCTTCCAGAGGTCCTGAGTTCAATTCCCAGCAACTACATGGTGGCTCACAACCATCTGTAATGACATCTGGCGCCCTCTTCTGTGTACATAATAAATAAATAATTTTTTTTTTTTAAAGAGAATCTTTAAACAACAGATGTTCTTATTTCCCTCTTAGGGAAAAAGAAATGGATTGTTTGCATCCCTCTAGTAGTGGTAGATGTTTGATGCATGCCTATGTTCTCACCAACAATACCTAGAGATTTGAGCTGTGTGCTTTCCCAGCTCCAGGCCGGTTTATCCCAGTTATGTGTCCAACAGACCCATAAGCAGAGCTGAAAACAGAAGAGGAAGGCCCAAGCCAGTCTTCCTCGTTTAGAACCTCATTAGTATCCTTCTCACTGTTGTAGCATCTCAAACACTCAGCCTCAATCCTTTCTCCATCAGAGCCTTCCTTCAGCCCAGTCTAAGTGGACTTTAAGGGCCAGTACACAGGTAGGTCCTCATGTTCATTAGCTGGGAGCTGGTGGAAGTCCCTCATTCCACCTCCCAGAAGTGCCAAGATCATGGAGCAAGAGTTGGCATGGATCACATGCCTGAGATGGAAAATTTCCAGAAAAAGTAATTTCTCCTTTTTAAATACTTTCTATTCTCAGGCCATCTTACCATAAAAGGAAGGGGTTCCCCTTTACTGATTCTACACACATGTCTGCTCCATTATCTCGTTCACCCTTCTAGAATGGTGAGACACATAAGCAGTGAGCAAGGCTGTTTGTGGGGGGGGGGTACCCAAGTGGGCACTATGCAGAGCATAGTCATTAATGCAAGCACCATGACCTCTGCTCTGGTTCCACATGGAACCAGATGGATAGGATAATGGATATATATATACATATATATATATACATATATATGTATATGTATAATTAAATGGAGGGGATCATCTAAATGGTCCTGGTCTTGCACCCCTGTAATCCCAGCTAGTTGGGAAGCTGAAGCAAGGTGTTTAATGTTTGCTGGAACTACAGAGTGAGTTTAAGCCCAGCCTGGGCAATATAGTGAGGCACAATCTAGAAATTAAAAGTAAGAAAAAAATGCTGGGGGCGTAGTGAAGAATTCCATTACTTGGGGAAGCGGGGAGGGAGTCCCCTATTTTGAAGCATCTTCAACCTTAGACTTTTAAATAGAAGAGGCTACTAGAGCCTGAATCTATTTGAAACACATATTTTGGATTATGAACTTAGGGTCCCACAGTGGTCACAAGAGCCTTTCAGATATTGAAAATCATTCAGATGAGTTTCCTTGAACATAAAAGGTTTGATAAGGGGTGACTGACAATGTCATAGAACGAACCCCACCCCTGCTCCTGTGAATTTTCTTAAATCTTAAATTTAAGATCTTAAAATTTTTTTTTTTTTTACCTTTGTCGTTTTGTTTTCTTTTTCGTTTTTTGAGACAGGGTTTCTCTGTGTAGCTTTGCGCCTTTCCTGGAACTCACTGTGTAGACCAGGCTGGCCTCAAACTCACCAAGATTCGCCTGGCTCTGCCTCCTGAGTGCTGGGATTAAAGGTGTGCGCCACCACCACCTGGCTAGATCTTAAATTTCTTAGATCTTAAATTTAACAGTGACATGAGATTCTACAAGGATTTTGAATACAAAAACTGCCAGTGATGAATGTAAGGGGACCATCAAATGCATCCCAGTTGAGATGCTTAAATGTGGGTGAAGGGTTTCTTACAACGAACAAGAAGGAGGCACATAGGGAAAAACCCTCATATACTCCTGACGCTGTTTTTGCCTCTTTTCGATGAACTCCTCTGCTCCCGCATCTCCCACGTCAGGGGCCTTTCAGGCTCATGATCTGAAATCTAGGCAGGCACAATGTTTGATAGACAGGTTACTCACTTTAAAAACCTGTTCATACTAAGTTACCGGTTGGTAAGGTTATTCCCACATGGCCTTTGCTGGGTAGGAGAGGTCATGATGGATGGGATGTGGGAATTGGCTGAGGAGAGACCGCACCCTTCACCTCTTTATGGCTTGCACTTCCAGAGGAAAGACCACACCCTCACCTCTTTATGGCTTGCACT